TTAAGCTTTTAATCTTCTTAAAATGATTGTAATTAAGTTGGCTTCTTGACTACCACACCGTGATGAATTCTCATTATTTTGTTTTAAGATTCGCAAGTTTCTTTCTCATGATACATGCAAAACTCTAATTCATGCCTTTGTTACTGCAAGGATCGACTATTGTAACTCATTGCTCTACGGTCAGCCTAAATGTATCTTGAAACGTTTGCAAAGTGTCCTAAATAGTGCTGCTAGGCTTATTAACCTTACCAGTAGATATGAACATATTACGCTGTTGCTTATTCGACTTCATTGGCTTCCTATTGAACAAAGGACAACTTTCAAAATTGCGGTGATCACATTTAAGGCACATGGTGCTGCACTTAGCTATATCACTGATCTCATTAAGCCTTGTACACCTTGCAGATTTATTAGATCCTCGAATCAATTTTTACTTTCTACACCTAAATTTAATCTTAAAACTTATGGTGGCCGGTCTTTCGCTATTGCCGCACCCTCCGTTTGTAATGCACTTCCATTCGAACTTAGATCTTGTAATTCCCTTTCTTCTTTTAAATCTAAGCTTTAGTCTTGGCTTTTTAAAGTTTGTTGTGATGTTTTTGTATAGAATGATTATGTTTTCTTATCGGATGATAATGTAATTTTGTAGTTGTAGTTTTATTTTGTGGGATATTTCTTATGTTATTTCTATCATGTAAAGCGCTTTTGGATCATTGGGAATTAGCGCTCTATAAATACTGTATATTATTATCAAACTACACTTCGTAGAGCACAAATAACGCCATAGACGAGTTCAAATATCACGAAGTATTCGTACTCTAGAGTACCGGTTAAACAGGTTTTCTCGCATCGCGCAAGCGAAGAATTGAATTGTAGTTAGGAAAAAAAAAATGGCGGACAATTTGAGTTATATTTCCGACGACGAAGAGTCAGAATGGCTGCCAAATATACATCCAAGTTTATTAGATGAATCGAACGAAGAAAAACAGCTAGACGACCTGGAAATTTCTTCATTTATTGAAGAAAATAGACACAGCAACACGACAACCCGCCAATTCCGTTCCGCCTCGCATACTTCAGTCAAGCACTCCCCGTAAATAAATATCCGCGAAACTCGCCCGCACTGAAATAACAGTTTGGCGTGTTGGATAATAAATAACTTATTAGACGTTTTGTTGTGTAGTATCGCTGAGTATTTTTACTCGTTATTTGTATTTTGATTCGCCCTACGGGCTCGTCAAAATACGGCACAACTCGTAAAAATACTCAGCGATACTACACATCAAAATGTCTAATAAGATATATATCAATTATTATTATCGTATTTATGTTGCTCTTTGGTTCTCGATATCTTTCTTAGTCCGAAGGAAAGTTAATTGTTTATCATGGCAAATAAATGTTATAGAGGAAAGAAAGAACGAAGACGAAGCGAACCGGGAATTGGTAAAATGGCCGTAGTAGTAAAAATGAGCGAATGATAATTTTCCTTTCAGAAACTCATATTCAGACAAGTAATTTTCATCTGTCTTGTTCAGTTATAGTGGATACAGTATTTTGGGTTGTTTCCACATTTTACAAATGTGGAAACAACACACGTTTTGGATGGGGAGCCAAATTATATGCAGAAAAATAAAAAAAAAAATTTTTAAAACTCAATTGAGACTTCAGGAGGACAATTCAATTTCGTTACCTTTCTTCGTTCTGTAACCGAGCACTCACATCTTCATGCTAGAGCTAGAAAAAGCGCATTACTTGAAGAGCTGTTTTACTGACTTATTCGTACTGCCCAGGAAAAGGGCTATCACCCGAACTCTTTGGTCTTCATGTTACATTGACCAGTATTTTCAAGAGCCTGCGAAATTCCATTGTATTGAAAACAACAAAGTAAATTTTGCAAACAGTAATTAAATGCCAAAGGCTAGAGGATAAGAGTTGTATTCAAAACGTAAAACCAGAAATTTACAGGATGTTGAGTTTTTATCTGAAGGTGTACTGTCTATTGAAAACAAATATATTATCTTATTATCCAATTTATTTGGAATTAGGCACCAGTTTGGTAAAAGCTAAACAAATTAGAGATAACTCTTCTTCCTCCTCCTCATCACCACACTGTAAAATCACAATTTCTCTGAAACTAAATCTGTGAAACTGTTAAATGGGATTTGTTTACTTTTTTTAAATCATGAGTTGAAAAACATTGCCAAATTTTCTCAGTTTAAAGTTAAAAGTTAATGGGATAACTTAATACTACTTTTAACTGAAAATAAAGGTTATTTTGTAGGGATAAAATAAGAGATCGATATTGGATTATGACCTTAAAATTTGTTTCACAAGCAACATTTTCCACATTTTGAATTATCATTAGAGGCTAGCGAGGTTTAGATTCTTACCGTTGTTGATCCTTGTTTTCTCTATACTTGGTGAGTCAATATCGAATATGAATTTCATGGAAGTTTTAGGCTGGATAATTTTTCCACTACCAGTTTTCATGTCCTTTCATGGAAAAACGGCTCTCGATAAAGTTCAGTGGGCTTTATACTGCTTAGAATACATTATGTCAGCACAAATATCTCTGCTTTACTCTATGTGAGACTTCACATGGAATTTATTTGGAAAGGAAAAGCTCAGCTTAGAATTAATGTAATTACTCAGTCAACAAAGAATACTGAAATAAGTACACTTCATAATTATTGTGTCAGGGAAATAACCCAGTTCCCACAATCTTTGTCGTAAGAGAGTGCAATACAGTTTCTTACAGATGTACAGGCATAAAAGGTTAAATAAGTTATGCTCGTCTTGCAGCGTTCTTTGATACGCCCATTACGCGAAAAATGGTAAAAAGCCATGGTATAAAAGCTAGGTTGTCAATCAGCTCGTGACAAGACGAAAAACATATTTCTCTACCATATTGTTTAGTTTGTAACTTTTGGTCACTTCTTCAGGAGTTTACTTTGATTGGAAAAAATAAGTAACATGAGCTATTCTCTTTAAGAGGAAACACGATTTTGTTTTCAAGGATATTTTTTTACCAAAAATCAAGTTATGAACCATAAATTAAACCAATGTAGATGGATATTTATTCAAATGTACAGAGACAAATGGATAACTAAAGTTAACGACATAATTTCCAAATTTAGAGAGGTTTTGGTTTATAAGTAAAAAAGCATGGAAACGACTAGATCAAAAAGAAATACCTTATCACCCTGGGTTTGACCTCATTTTTCCAGTCATCAACAATAAGCTAACTGGAACTCAGTTAACTCTACCCCTCTATAAACTCAACATAATACGATATCCCCCTGGGTTTGATCAAGTAACATGAGTTTGAACAAGTAACATGAGCTATTATCTTTAAGAGGAAGCATTATTTTGTTTTGAAAGTTATTTTTTATCAAAAATTAAGTTATAAACCGTAAATCAGCTAGCTTGAACTCAATTGACTCTACCCCCTATGAACTCGACGAAATACCGTATCACCCTGGGTTTGACCTCATTTTTCCAGCTCAGTTAACTCGACCCCTTATAAACTCAACATAATACGATATCCCCTTGGGTTTGACCCCATTTTCCCAGTAATCTACCGTCAGCTAACTCGAACTCGGTTAACTCGACCCCCTGTGAAATCAAACTATTGTTACTTTCCATAGGCTAAAATTGTCAAAATAACTCGCCTTTTAAGGAAAATCGTCGATCGATCAACTTCAAGGTTTCAGGATATAGCTGATGTACTTGTTCTAAACTTTAACTGCGTTCGATACGAACGTGATAACATTCATGAAAACGTAATACATTTAGCCAAATTTCTCAAACAAAACGTTTCATAAAAAAGCTACTATGAAAAGCAATTACCCGATGAACGAAAATGACTGTCACGGTTTATTGTGCAAGAATGGTAAAAACGTGACTCGTTGTTGATTCTTGACAAGATAAAAGAAATTCAACACGAATCCCGTAACTCCGACTAGCCCCAAAATTTTCCAATTCTCGAAAATTTCAGAAACTATGTAAGATCATCGCCTTTCATCAGATTCAGCTATCGTTGCTTGCTTTGATGACTGAATTATAAAAAAAACGCTTTTGGCGCTTAAAAACATATTTAAGAATATTTACGGCCCATTTGGAATCTCCTTCAGAGCCTTACACAAGCTCCGCCCTCATTTCCTGACTAATCTGGTAGTAAACAGGTACCGGTTGATCTTAGAACCTGGTGACTGACCTTTTAAAAGTGTTCACGCAAATTCATAGATAACCGTTTAGCTCAGATGTTCAAGATTTCACGCACAATAGAAGTCTCCAACATTGTCCTCTAAGGTGGTTTTAACTCTAGTGTTTGAATTTAGTTTTTACTCGGAGCAATCAATTCGAAACTGATTTGCGGTTTATCGTATTTTTGGAGAACCTTTTCGAAAGAAAAAGGGATTTTCTCTGATAGCAAAATAAGAGGAATGAAAAATCGTGCATTTATCGCGAAAATCGGTGCACTTATAAGGAGAAACAATGGTACACCTGTCTAGATATATAACTTTTTATATTCCTTTTCCTTGATACGACGTTTTCTAGTATACGTTGGTACTGATATTGAAAAGGATGACTATCAAAGTAACAAAAAGATTTAGCTTCTGCCAATAGTTCAAAGGTTTATTGTTCTTCGTTTGAATAGAAATTAGAACAATGAACATCAATAATTTATGAAAATCTATTAAAATGCTTCAGAAAAATTAAATAAACGCAATTGCTGCTGATTCAACAATCTTTGAAACTGCGAAATAGTATAACAATTCTTTTCGTCAATAGGCTGTTGCCAGAATAATACATTCCTCATTTCTTTAATTCAAATAAATGACCTTCTAATGAGTTCCTAAAGCAGGTGGAATAATTTGATGCAATTTTCATAATCAAATTTCAGAGTCATGCATTAAGAATCACTATATTGACCAATGGAATTATTGTCTGTCGCAAGCATTTACAATATTTTGACTTGAACTCACGCTTCGAGCTACAGCACGGCTGTTTGACTTTCTGTTACTACTGTGTTCACATCATATTCCTTCTAGGTAAGTAAATAAGGGTTGCATGACTTCGCAAATTACGAAATATTTATATTTATTTGAATTTTAAAGCAAAATCGGTTGGCTTGTTTTGTACTACTACCTCACTTCCCCTACCACATTTCAGATAAGTTGCATTACGAAGAAAGTCTGCTTTTGAAATTGTATTTTGCTAACTTTTCTTCGCGTACTATATTTTAAGGAATACCACCTCTACCCTCAGCTTTCGCTCTGACGAACGGCTAACATTTGAAACGTCAGCTTTTAAACTATTTAATGTGGCCAATCTACATTATTAACTCAGTTGATAAAACCCAAATTACCTTGTTGCACTCCCCCATCGACGTAGCACCACAGTTTCTTCAGAAACTTTTCCCCTTTATTCCTCAGTTTTTATGTCAAACTAATTGCGGCTGTTGCAAATGAGTACTATATGGTGGAACTTTCACATCTCCCGGCGAATTGGACAATTTCTCTTTTCAAACCTGCACTAAATGAAAATAAAGTGCAGAGAAAGAGCTCCAACGATATCAGTGAAACTACGACTTATATTAATTTACGAAAGACATTTCAAAACGATCGAGGAGACTTTTTTTAATTGCTCGTTCATATATCAAATAGAGCCTATTTCGATGATGTGCAATTGTTGTGAAAATCTGGCTTCCTTATTTCCACTCCAGGGTTGTGCTTATGCTGATGTTGTTTAATAAGTTCATACGTTTCCATTCATTGACAAATTCATCAATAAAACTTCTCACAGACGTCCTCGTCATTCACGTTAGAAGATATCAATAAAACAATCGATGGGAAAACAAGCTTTGATTTCAACTCAGGTAATTTACCACAAGTTTACTCAGAAATAAAAATAATTCATAGTCACATTTTTCCTAACCAAACTGACTGGACAGGTATGTTGGCAAATGAGCGCCATAGCGAGATCAAAAACTCCATTGGAAGGTCTCTACCATCAAAAACACGAAAGAACGGCTCTGCTTCTGTGCAGTTCCATGTGTTACTTTAAATCATTTCAAATATTTAATATTCAGTTCTTTCTCTTAATGCTATATGCCCAAGCAATTAAAACCTTCGTTTAAAATGGTTGAAAAGGGAAAAAATATATGAAAATTAACGTTCATTTTGCAAAAAACCTATCATTTCCTTGTAGAAGGTTAAAATTTTCATAAGAGTATACACTTGCAACAGACTTTATTGGAATCCTGACTTAATTTCGCGAGAATTTCACGAGTGAAAGACATCATACTTGACGTTTCAGATCTAACAGCCAATATTTGACTGCGAAAGCCAGAAAAAGAACTTGAGTGTGGATCTAAGGCAGGAACAGCATACGAACTAAGCACGAATGAAAGACAGCTGAGTCAGTCAACATCAGGGATCAAATCGTAATAGCTAAAACCCAAATAACTTCAGACTTCCAGTTCAAAGCATAACTACCCAGATACAAATGAATCGTTGAATCATACTGCTGTATGATTTACCAACTAAATACTCCACTACAGTATTGAAGAAAAAGACCGTTTAGACAGTTAATATTCATGATATTTTTTCACTCATGTCATTTCATTTAGATCCTACATTCGACAACTGAACCCTGCAAGATGAAGACCACAACCGTTTGGTATTTCGCCATTGCTATCTTAGTCTTACCTGTTACCGCATTCCCGAAAAGTAACTCCACTGGTAAATACACTCAATTTATACACACAATAAAATTGGCTTCACTCTCAAATTCTCATCTTCAGTCTTGATCTTGGACGTTGAGACTTGGTCCACCAAAAAACAAAGAGAATAGTGTGTACTGAATGGATCCTTGTACAACAGATAGGTGACTTATAGTTTACCTGTAATTGAGTTGGCTTCACCCATAATAATCTCTCTCTCAGTCTTGATCTGGGATGCTAAGACTAGGTCCAACAGAAAACAAAAGAGAAGAGTGTGAAAACTGTTTCGGAAACTGGACTGTCTTGCTGCGCTGTTCAGATCTTGAACTTTGGTCAAGAGATAGGTGACTAATAGCTGAACCGTAATGGCATCGGCTTCACCCATTAGTCTCTTCCTTAGTCTGGAAATTGATCGCTAAGACCTGATCTCCCAAAAAACAAACAGAAGAGTGTCTCAGAAGGTGGACTGTCTGTCTGCACTGAATGGATCTTGAACTTTGTAGAGGATGTGTGTGAATTTATGATATCTGATAGTTGTGCCATGTCTGTCGTAAGAGTTGAGTTAGCATTCGTTTCCCGCGTCTATCACTTAATTTAGACGTTCATGAAGTTGTTTCTGCGAAGGAAAAGGTACTTCTACATTCTTCTTTTCGTCGATTATATTCAGTTATGTGGCCTGTTTGTTGAGTTCGTCTTTACAGAGTGCTCTGGTCGAAGCTACGCACTTCCCTTTCATGTGCATCACGGTCGTGGGAGTCGATTTTGCGTAGCGTTTTAAAACGGCAAAAAAAAAAAGGAACCAGGAACTCGTTGCCGTTAATATACTATAAGCGGTATGTCTGGTCGTGGCAAAATTCGTCTTGTAATGTCTTGCTATGAGTCAGCTTTGAGTGGACTGTATGTTCTGGGCACGACACCACGTGGTCTAGAAAAGAAAGTTTTCAATCTTTTTTTTGCTTCTATCAGTTCACCAAGGTGATTAAACCCACACCAATTGGCTTAAAACATGCTTCCCTAAGCAGAAGTAAACAACTACCAGCACTTTGAGAAGATTTTATCATAGCAATGCCAGAACAGGCCGCAGAGAAGGAACTACCCAGTGGTTAGAAACCAATACATTGCAACTAACAAAAGCTAGAATAAAAATCCACGTATAAGAACCTAGTTTGTTTCAAGCTAGCCTCCGTAGTTTCTTATAAATGGTGTTTACTGTGAAATTAGACTACCTCGGTTCTAAGTCAGGTTCTTATTTTTTTGCGAAGAATAAAGAAACTTCTATTTGTGGCTGTGAGAGTGGTACCGCGCCGTATACCAGCCTGATTATGCCCTGCTTTACATGGATAACTTCTGCACACATTTGGATATGTTGTACAACTATAGATGTATTGAAAGTACAGTATTGTGATCTTATGGCACTGCCACTATCCTGGCTAGTTTTTCTGGCCCTTCTTGTATCTCACGTGATATACTGTAATATATTTTTGGAAAAGAACTTTACATTCTAAAAATAAATGACTAGTACTGAAATATGAGCTTAGAATGGTTCTTATGTGGAAGGTTCTAAACTGGTAAATTTTGGCCTTACAGATTCTTAAATTTTAGCTTCTTATCCGCGGATTTTTGCTGTTGATGAGTCTTCCAACAAAAGGCATTAGAAGAAAATTAACCAATTAGCTTCAAAAATACGTATGATGCACGATCCTCGCAGTAGAGAGCGCTATTTATGGATTAGCGAAAATCAGACCTGAAAAAAATCAGGCCTGTACGGGATTCGAACCACTGACCTCTGCGATACTAGTGCAGCGCTCTACCAATTGAGCTAACAAGCCAACTGGGAGCAGGCCGTTAAGTTGATTCGTAATAAATCCGTGATGATAAATCAGATACAATGAATATATGAAGCTTCAAAAAACAAAAATCAGTTTAAGACCCGATTGACACACAAGGAATCATCAATCCTTGCTTTGCAATTTTGTAACCGATTATGTATGCTTACCCTTTAGAGGAAACACCAAATGAAGGGAAAAGATTTCTCTGGGGTGGACCTGCCGCTCTTTTTTTTTTCGTTGGAGAGAAACGCCCAGTTGGCCTTCCTGACGTTGGTCGAGGGACAGAAATACAGCAAGGAACGGAACCTTATTTTGTTTCTCTCTTTGATCCATGCACAAACACTGCTTTCTATTCAGCCTACAAAGTTAAACCCACGCAGGCAAAGAACCTTGGCAAGCATTCGAGACCCGGTAAAGGTTGGAATAATCCTCCAGGTATGTAAATGGCTATTCAACAATTATTTTTAGACCGATAACAAATAGAGAGGCTTGGAGTATGCCCTGCGTTATTACAAAACACGCAAGGTCACTAAGGAAGTGGGGAAAGCCATTAGAATACTCTTCTTACATATGCATATTTCCCGCAGTTTTTACAGTAGAGGGACTGGCCTCTCTGAGGCTTTTTTGTTCCTAACGACGCCTTTTCTGCAAAGAATCTCTATGTTTTCAAGAGAAATGAAATGTGGACAGAGGGTTTCATGCTTTCGTAACTTCAGAAAACGAAAGAAAAAAATACCCAAACAGTTCATTTGGTTCGGAGAGTGGTGACAAAATATCACCACCATCGTCATCGTATTCATCAGAATATGATTTAATATTTTAAAGGTGAAAATTTATCCGTAGAATGTAACCTATGATTATAGGTGTTCCTGGCGTTGACGATGCCTATAAAATAGCCAACGCGGAGACTCAACGCAAGTTCAATGCAGAACTTACCAGAGGCCATATGAATCCTTCGGGAATCAACTCATTTGACCCAGATTTCATGAGGGCTACTTTCACTCTTACCAATGCTGTACCACAGTTCGCAGCATCAAACGGCAGAGATTGGCAGGTTTTTGAGAAAAAGATAAAAGATTACGCTAAAAATACCTGTGGGAGCCCAACCCGCCAGGGAACCCTTTACCTACTGACAGGCAGATCAGAAAACGGCCTCAATGCCGTACCCAAGCCGCCCCTTACGGACAAATTTACAGTGAGACTAAAAAATATACCACTTGCAACTCCTCGAGCTATTTGGACGGCGGGCTGCTGCGTGTGGAAGGAACCTGGAAAGCGGCTGGGAAGTTTATGGAAAACTGAACGGGCCGAGTCCTTTGCAGTGATGAGCAACAATCATTATGATCAAAGCCAGCTGCACCAGACGCAAATGAGCATAATTAACCTACAGAAACACTTGTCATCGGGGACGAAAGTGGATCTGTTTCCAGGAAATAAAAATTGTGCCGCGGCTATAAATAACATAACACTATAATGATAAAACGTCGAGAATTATATACTTATAATATAAAACGTCAACAATTATATACTTATATACACACACCATTACTTTAAAACTTGGATTATTCACAAGAAAATGTAAACCTTAATGTCGTCAAAATAAAACTTTCAGATAACAGTGCTTGAAAACTGATGGTAGATCATTCACGTAAATATCGAATAAGAGAAGCCCTTGGGACGTCACTTTCCGTAGACAGGGACAACTCCTTATTTATACTAAGGACTTAGTGTTTTGTGAGAGAATACTGACTACCTATCAAACCTTTTTTCACAAGATTAAATAAAAACTTTCATGTGAATTTGGCTTACGACGGTTTCGCTACATGCCGAGTTCGCTGCGTTCAAGTTCGCTGTATACATGTCGAGTTTGCTACATCAGCAAATCAAGTTCGCCATCTCAAAGAAAACAACCAATTAAAACGAAAACTATTTCAGGACATTAATTACCGATGAAGGTTAAAAAGTCTAGGTATTAAAGTATAAACTTGCATCCATGCTGTTCCCGGACGGATCGCGGCATGTGTGTTATGCGAGATGCACGAGTGTATAACTCGAAACTCATGTTGCAAGTATATATAGGAATCGACTATGTCGCTGTATCGTACATTTCAGTGACGGAAGCTTCGAGTAGAAGGTATTATGGGATTGCAATTACCATCATTATTTTACCTTAAACAGGTATTCAGTGACGTTAAACGTTAGTAGCGGAATGACGTTCCTGCTCAGTGTAGTTGAAAGTAGAAAACAGGTAACGAATTCGAACAAAGCAAATTCGAAATGTGACTTTTACTTCAATTTCCTCACCCACGAAAGTTTTTATAACGAAGGATGTGTTTTTTAATCAAAGTTTCTGACGTTTTACAACATATTGAACAGTATTTCTGCAAAGTCCCCGATTTAAAAAAAACAAGGAAAGGATTGTGCCAGAGTTAATAGAGGGGGGAGGAATGAGCCGAGTGGCATATTATCCATCTACTTTAAAGAGTTGTTTTTATTTACCAAACAAGAAAATTAGCCAAGAAATGAATAAAGGCTGATAGTTTCGAAAGAAACTGTTTGGAGCTGCGTCGGTGGGGGTAACGAAGTAATTTGGATATATCAACAAAGTTGAAATGGTAAATTGGCCACCGTAACGATTACAAAAGCTGACGTTTTGAGCGTTAGCCCTTCGTCGGAGCGAATAGAGGAATTGTGGGTTGTGTGTGCTTTTAAAGGCAGAAAATGGAGCTACGTTATTGGTGGGAACATGGCAACGAGAAAAACAAGAATAAATTAGTGGAATGAAAAGCGTTCGTTGATCCCTGTGGGATTTAGACTGCCGGTTTGAAAGATGAGCTTTTGTTCAAGATTTTTACGGCTTTCCGTGCTACCTAAGTGTAAGGAAAGACCGCAGATTGCCATATGTTGCTTAGAATGATTAGGTAAATTAAAATGCCTAGCGACTGGTTTCGATGTGTCCTTGTCATTCCTTTCCACGTCTCGAAGGTGTTCTCGGAATCGGTCACCTAGTCTTCTGCCTGTTTCGCCGATGTATATCTTTTTGCAATAAGTGCAAGTTATGCAATAGATTACATTGGCGGAGGTGCACGTGAAGTGATCGGTGATCTTAATGGATCGTTTAGGTCCCGATATTTTATCAGTGTTGTGAATGAAAGGACACGTTTTGCATCGTGCACGAGCGCATTTAAAAGTGCCTGGTTGGTCATTAGTCTGAAAAGAACTTCTGACCAAAAAATTGCCTATGTTTTTGTCGCGTTTGAATGAAATGAGCGGAGGCTGCGAAAAGATAGTGCTTGTCTCTGGATCGTTTTGAAGTAATTTAAAGTTTTTAAGAATGATGGATTTAACTGAGTGGTTGTGAGGGTGAAACGTGAGAGTGAATGGAATGCGGTCGGAATCTTCCTTATGCGACGTTTGTAGTGCTGAATGTCGATCAATAAGTTG